AAAAGAGTGTTTTTCTCACCTTTCATAAAAAAGGAAAAGAAAAGAAAACCTGTGATCTCTAAATTAGCATCTGAGGAGGAAATAAAATGAGAAAGAAGTATTTGCCACCCAACTGTGGCTGAGAAATCACACCTAACTTAGATTCCTGGGTCAAACATACCGGGCTAGAAAAATATCCTTTTCTTTAGATATGGCTTTGTCTCACAATTTCAAAGGCAGCTAGTACTTATAGTCATATTTCCATTATTTATAACAAATGTTATTTTTGTGTGTGCCAGTACCGGGGCTTGAACTCAGGACCTCTTACTCTTACCCTGCCTCTTTGCTAGAGATTTACCACCGAAGGCACCCTTCCACTTTTAGTTTTGTGCTGATTAGTTTGGGATTTGTCTTCCTAGTCTGGCTTCAAACTGGGATCCTCAGATCTCAGCCTCCTGAGTAACTAGGATTTTAGGTGTGAGCCACCTGCACCTGGCACCGAAGAAATTGAATGGCAAATGAACTGGAGGAGAAATATTGCATTAAAACTTGCCATGCACTAGGTAGATAGTAACCAAACCTTTTTTTTTTCCCTTGGTAACTAAATATTTCTACAGTTGGTTGTTTATGAATGGTTCCTATAAATTACGCAATTTAGACACACCATGAGATCGGAAGATGCTCAAGCCACCCTCCTAAGAAGTTCATTAGTAATTAGCCTCTGTTGAAATAATTACCCACCTGTAAGCTTCTTTAGTGTGGCTCTTGGAGCAGTCCAAGATGGCTGTCAGAGATCTTGAGGCAAGTGTTAGAGAGGCTCAGACTAAGTACTTGCTTTAGCAAAAGCCCACAAATGGAAAACAAAGTGCATTTTATTTAAACACATCCTTACAGAAATGCTCCTGGTAGAGAAATAAACCCAAACCTGAGCCAGACTTGCTCAATTTCTCTAAGAAAAATCATCTTCCACAAACGTTGGAATAAGATCAGATTAAAGATAAATCCAAATTTCTAAGAAGAAAGTCAGTATGGGTTTTTTTGATGAATTATAAACTAATTTCTATATTTTGATTTTTTTACATTGTTGGCCACAGAAATGTAAATGGTGAGAAAGTTAAGTACAGAGACAACAACCAAAACCACCAGTATTTTGTTTATCTTTATTGAGTTGATTACTAACCAGCTCCAAACTCACTATCCTGAGAAATACTTATTAAGTACCGAGGGTTAAAGGCTGAGCTATAATGATGTATATTTAAGACTTATTAAGCAAGATAAGTTTCTACCACCTAGAATTTTTTAATTATTTGGTTTTTAATTATAAAAATAAATAATTATCTGGTGATCAAGTATTCCGAGCTCTGAATGCCTGCCAGCTTATGAAGAATTACTGGGTTACCACTGAAACATGGGGGAAGTAATCCATCCCATTAAATACTAAATAGGCTAGCAGAGTGTCATTAGTCATCTTGACTATCATTGGACCTTTAACCAGAGAGATACCGAAAAGGAAATGCAATTTTAATCCACTTAAATTGTCCAGTTTGCCAAGGAAAATCTTATCTTCCAAGCAAAATGGAAAAGCCATCATATATTCCATCATAAATGATACCTTTTGAAATACTCAGGTGAAGCAAGAGTTGTTGGTTCTTATCAGCTTTCTTGATCACTGCCAGAGCAATTGTGGGTGGTCTCGACCAAGATACACCATGCTGCTAGTATACACCCTAAGTGACTAATGCCATTAGGCTCCTATTCCCTCTTCTGTCCAAGAGGGAAATTGGAGTTTGTCTCTGAGGATTTTTGGAATTCTCAAATTCTCTGCCACTATTTGTTGTGGTTGCTTAGCTCCTGAATAGATGATGATCGTGGTGGTGGTGGTGGTGGTGATGGTGATGGTGATGGTGATGATGATGGTGATGGTGTGCGTGTGCATGCACATGTGTGACAGCCAATACTAGAGTTTGAACCACACCTCCGCTTCTAGCTTTTTGCTGATTAATTGGAGATAAGAGTCTTTTCTGTCTGGGCTGGCTTCACTATGCTTGCAGCTACCTGAGTAGCTGGGATTATAGACCAGTTCCTAGCTCATGAATAGCAGATGTTTAAAGAAAAACTTCTGGGGAGTGTTTTTGTTTTTGTTTTTGTTTTCTTTTTTCTTGTTGGCCATGGGACTTGAACTCTGGGCCCAGCTGTCCCTCAGCTCTTCAGCGCAAGGCGAGCACTCTACCACTTGAGCCACAGCACCACTTGCGGTTTTCGAGTGGTTAACTGGAGATAAGAATCTCACAAACATTCCTGCCCAGACTGGCTTCGAAATGTGGTCCTCAGATGTCAGCCTCCTGAGTAGCTAGGCGTACAGGCAGGAGCCACCAGAGCCCAGCAAACCTATGGTTTGTGTATGCTAGGCAAGCCCTCCACCACTGAGCTACGTTCCCATTCCCTATTACTAAAGAAAGTCTATAAGAACATGGAAAGCTTTTTTCACTGTATTTGATTCCAGGTGTCTTGCATCTTGTATATATACTTCTAATTCGAGGAGGGGAAGGGAAAAAACAAAATGCTTAAATAAGGATACAGGTTGACCCATTGTAACAATGAGATATACAAGACACTATGTTGAAAATGAACTTTACTGCTTTGGTGTGTGGGGGGAAGGTGGTAGTTGTGTGTGGGGGGGTGGTAGTTGTGGAGGTGGGAGAGAAGGGATGGTAAGGGGAAACAAAGGAGGAGGCTACAATGCTTGATAAGAAATGTACTCATTACCTTGCTCATGTAACTGTAACCCCTCTGTACAACATTTTTGCAATAGAAAAAGTAAAAAAAAAATGGAAAGATGAAGAGGCTTTGCTGGGAAGTTTCTTAAGAAAAGTACAGGGGGAAAAAAATCACAGGGAAGATTTTTATTCCTCACTTGATTCTTAGGGTCCATTTCCCCCTTGGTGGCTAGAATGTGAGGAATGTCTACTGGTTCATTTAGTTGGCCCATAATTTTGCGAGTATTATAATGACTATAGCCATAACCCAGATCTGACATATATTGAATAAGAGAAGCTATGATAAGTAATGATAAGAACTGTTCACAGTGAAGACGATTTGACTGCTGTGACAGCTGAAGGGTGAAGGGGGCGGGGAGAGTCTTGTTCTCTTCACAGTTGAATGAGGCCCTGTTCAGTTATGCAGACATGGCATGAAGGAATCCTGAGCAGACAACAAGCCCGGCTACCTCCCTTCCCCCACATTTCTCCTGAAAGTTCTCCACAGGCATGTCTAGGGCTCCTTAACCTCTAAGCCAGTTTCTTCATAAAATCAAGATAACCTTTCCTTTACAAGGTGAGGTGACTGGGAGAATTAAGATCAAGTCTTTCAGTCAAATTTCTACCCAGGAATTGCTCAGTGAGTCAGAACTCTGGGATTGGAGCCACTCAACACCTTTATGAGTTAGTAAAAGGCAGTTCTATATGATTTCATGTACTATTGTCGACATTAATTTCATCGTCTTGTTTTCTAGTAAGTCTTCGCTTATGCATGAGTTTTATATGTATGCATATGTTAAAATATAGAATATATTTATACTTTTTACTTAAGTTTACTTAATTTACTTAATTTTCTGAGCACCTACTGTCACAGAATTGCCACCATTTTCTCCTGCAGAAACTTTAACAGTACAAGATCCCGTTTGTTTGACAGACACACACTAAGGACCAACTTTGTGCTAGTCCTTGGGCCTTGTGTGCTCAGAGAGAAGTTTGCTATAAATTTGCATAGTTCTATTGCAAGTAATTATTCAGCATTTGTGCATTGTCCTGCAAGACAGTACTGGTCAAGTTGGTCACATGCACTTGTTTAAGTAAGAAATTTGCAGCCAGATGCCAGTGGCCCGTGCCTGTAATCCTAGCTACTCAGGAAGCTAAGATCTGAGGATCATGGTTTAAGCCAGCCTGGGCAGGAAAGTCTATGTCATAATCTGCCGTTAACTACTAGAAACCCAAAAATGGTGCTGTGACTCAAAGTGGTATAGTATTAGCCTTCCAGGCACTGAGTGCAAGCCCCATAACCTACTAAAAAAAAAAAATGTTCCTGGAAATAAAAAGACTGCTGTGAGTCAGCAATACTTGCCTAGCACCTAGTGAAATAAGCATCTTATCAATAACACCTTTTAAATTATCTTGTTTTGCTTTTGAGTCAGGTATCAGTGGCTCTCCTTATTATAATCCTAGCTACCCAGGAGGCTGAGACCTGAAAGATCAAAGTTCAAAGCCCATTCGGGCGCAGAAGCCCTTGAGACTCTTAGCTCCAATTAACCAACAAAAGGCTGGACTGGAGATGTGGCTCAGGTGGTAGAGCATCAGCCACAAATAAATAGGCCAAGTTCAAGGGTACCAGAACATACACATTTTTTTCTTTTGATGGTATGATTTGTGACTTATTGTTCAATCTTTTTTCCGTTGGCCTAATTCAGTAGGAAAAATGACTGTCTTGGAATGTATGTTCACATATTTATTATCAGACTTCTATTGTACTTTATCAAATACTAGTTCTACAGAAGCCCGTTGGTATGTAGGTCTGGTAATGCAAATACTACTATTCTCTTTACTTGGCATAGTAACAAATTGACATGTCCTTAGAGACCTGGGCATTTCTGTTTTATTTTGCTTTTGGTGGCATCCTCTACCCTATGAGCTACTTACCCCTCTAAGTCCTTTTGGCTTTAGTTATTTTTCAGATAGGGCCTCAAGCAATCCCAATCCTCCTAGCTACAGCTAGCTTCCTGTGTAGCTGGAATTTCAGATGTGATCCTTTGTGCCCTACTTGTTGGTTGAGATGGGGGGGGGTTCTCCTGGCTTAACCTTCAACCATTATCTTCCTCACCTCTACCTCCAAGTATCCTAAGTCTCCATGATGTAGGTCCACATCCAGTGCTGGCAAAGAGGGAGACTGATGTGAATGTCGATGTTTCCTGATGAATAAAAGTGAATAAAGCAGATTACTTTTTTTTTTGTTTTGTTTTTTGTTACTAGGAAGAAATCATTCCTGTTTTCTGCACTGTATGCTGCCTTTATATTTGGTGGTCGGCACCTAATGAACAAACGGGCAAAGTTTGAACTGAGAAAGCCATTAGTGCTCTGGTCTCTGACCCTCGCTGTCTTCAGGTAAGTTTTTCCTCACTAAATTAAAAAAGGAAAAAAAACACATCCATTTCCTCTCATTTGCTGAAAGGAGGCAATACCTGAGCATCTCATTTTTGCGTCTGCATTTTGACAGAAATAAATCCATGTCCAAACAGGAAGCCTTCATACGGCCTCGTTTGCACGAAACCCTTACTGTGCTCTGAGAATCCTCAGGTCTTGTCTCATCCCGTCCAGATTAAACCCGCAGTAATCCCACACACCTGATAGGACGAGACGCATGCATGATTTCTATTATTTTTGTTGTATGAATATAAAGGGGAGGGCTCAGTAGAGAGACACAGGAGGAAATGGCTAAAATCCATTGGAGAGCAACATTCAAATGCCATGGCTAGTCCTTTAATCCAAAGGGGGCAGTAAGCCAGTTGTCCAGACACCTGGAAGGGTCAAATATTGACCCTGCCAATGCTTTGGCTTTGCATCCCATCAAACACTCTCCATCCCGATTTCCTCAGCAAACCCCCAGGTGGGCATATGTACCCGCAGCTAGTTCTTTGCTCCTGGCAAAACTCAGTTTGAAAGCCATTAGGACCGGGTCTGGCTCCTCCAGGGTTATCTCATCAGGCAGCATGCAGGTACTTTAAGAATTTCCAAGGAGTCTTCCCAGCCCTGTAAATATTTGGTGATGTAGCCATCACAAGACAGCCAGTGTCTAGGCAGGTGCCAGAGTTTATCTACAGTTCTAATAAAGGCCCCTGCTCTATTTGTGATTTGTTTGTCAAAACGAGCAAATTTATGACCAGGGTTGGGAGGGCATAAGTGGGGAGAGGAGTGTGAGGGGTGGACAGAGCAAATATATAGTTGCACTAGAAAACACTAAAAGATTCATAGTAGTGTTTTCGGTTATCCATTGATATTTCTTGTATTTGTAGAGTACAGAACTGCTCTATTGTTCCTGGTAGCATTAAAAGCCTTGTTAACCACTTAATTCTTACTAAGAGGATGAAGCAATTTTTCTTTCAGACTCCTAGGATTTTCACAGCTGTGTTGTGTGGAATCCCTCTATCTGATGGCTTCTTTTACTTGCCACTTTTTTTTTGTTTTAATGCATCAGCACTGGGGCTTGAACTCAGGGTCCTGTGCCCTCATTCAGCTTGTTCACTTAAGGCTGGTATTCTACCACTTTAGCCACATCCCCATTTCTGACTTTTTTGCAGCTGAATTGAAGATAAGAGTCTCATAGATTTTCTTCTCTGTCTGTCTGGCTTCAGACTGAGATTCTCAGATTTCAGCCCCGTAAGTAGCTAGCATCTAGCATCCAGCCTGAATGGACTGTCTAGGTCAGTGCATTTCATCATACACAAGGTCAGAGGCCCTTGTGACTTAACTCTGTCACTAGACCTGTCAGTGTGTGTCAGGCTAGGATTCTCTGTTATATAAAGATTCATTTCTGTTTCTTTACACTTAAGGTTAACAAGTGTACTCCATATAATGTGTTCTGCTACTTGACTGGACAATGATCTATTCTAATGAGACCTTTTAGTATCTTACCACCTTTCCCATAACCCCTGAGTCTTTATCATTCTGTAAACTTGAACATTGAAGCAAAGAAATTGACCCCACATGGATGATCCTGCTTCAGGATTATCAGCAATCTACTCACCTAACTTTCCCCTTTCTCTTCTACTGATCTGGAAATAATTGGGACTGAAGTAATTCCCACTGAAATGACACAGAAAGTGAAAGATAAGACGCTCTTTTAAAAGAGAGGAACACAGGGTCATGATCTCACCTAAGTTACTCTTGCTTGTGAAGTTTTCAGATTTCCTTAATTGGCTCATAATGGTGGGTTATTATTTTTTTTTTTTACAATTTATTTTTAAAATCCTGGATTGAAATAAGAACTGCATATTTACATTGATAAATTTATTTTAACCAATTAAAGAAAGAAGATTCTCTCTTTCTCTGTCTTCCCCATATCTTCTTTTTTATAATCCAGCCTTATTTGAAACCAGGTCATGTTCACCAATAGTTTCCCCTCCTGGATTTTTGTTCATTGTATTCTTCTGTACCTTGTACTTCTGTTTTTGGTTAGATCTAGAAGGCTGATTACATCTCCTGGATTTTTGTTCATTGTATTCTTCTGTACCTTGTACTTCTGTTTGGTTAGATCTAGAAGGCTGATTACATTGAAGGTTAATACTTGCTGAGATTTCCTGTAAGAAGAAAACTTGGCCTCCATCAGCCATGAAAGTATATATGGTTATTGTTACAGCTAAGTCAATCTTATTTACCAGTTTCTTGTATTTTAACTGATTCCCTACCTGTGACCCACAAGGTTTTTTGCTTTAAACATTAAGAACTTAACAGATTTGTATTTTTATGTGTCAGTGGTTTTGAGATACATGGAATTTTGGTGCGTTCATTCATTGTTTTTCGTTTTGGTGCCGACAGCTAACCTGGCATGTTAAATCGCCCCTGTCCAGATTAGATGAGTCATTTCTCCAAATGGAGAAGGGAGGATAATACGTAGAAACCAGCTTCAGAAGTAGTAGTAATAATAATAATATTAGTAATAATAATAATAAATTGTCAGGTACCTGTGGCTCATACCTACAATGCTAGCTCCTCAGAAGGCAGAGATCTCCATTAACCAGTAAGAAGCCAGGAATAGAGCTGTAGTTCAAGTGGTAAAGTGGCAGCCTTGAGCATAAAAAGCTTAGAGACAGTGCCCAGACTCTGAATTCAAGCCTTAGTACATATGTACACACACACACATACACACAACACACACACACACACACACACCCTATGAGATGTTATCTTATTCAAAACATAGGAAGTAATTCCATGTTTTTTCAAGATTGACAGTTTTCTTTGCAGAATCAGATTTTCTTTCTTAAGACTAAATTACTGAAACATGTATTTGTTAAGGCATAAAATAGTGGAGATTGAGAACCACATAACCAGGAGGTGATGTGATATATTGGTTGTTCAGATCAGGTCATGACACCAAAGCACATTTTCTTTTTCTCTTTTCTTTCTTTTGTTCCTTCTTTGTTTTTGTTTTTTTAGTTGATCATGGGGCCAGGACTTGGTGCCTGGTTATTGTTCTTAACTCTTTTGCTCAAGGCTAGCACTGCTACCCCAGTTTTCTGGTGGTTAATTGGAGGTAAGTTTCACTGAATTTGCCTTCCCCAGGTTGGCTTTGAATCTTAAAACTCAGATCTCAGCATCCTGGGTAGCTGGGTTGACAGATGTGGGCTACTGGTGCCTGGCTGGTTCTTACTTTTTGTCCATGTATGTATGTATGTATGTATGTATGTATGTATGTATGTATATATTCTTCCTTTTTCCCCCAGGACAGCCTGGACAGCATGCTTTTTATTTATGCTTCCTGTGTGCTGAAATGATAGCAATGTAACTGCACCCAGGTTGTTTTTTTTTTAATGAATTTTGATGGAGTATCAAGAACTTCTTGCCCAAACTGTCCTCAAACCTCAATCCTCCTGATCACAGACTCGTAGGAGGGGAGTAGCTGAGATTACAGCCTTCTTCACTCTTCTCCCTAGCACTTAGCATCTTTTAGTCCTTTATGCATTTAGTTCCTACTTTATATTTACAAATGAACTCTAAGCTCCAGCAATGCTAAGACTTTTGTGTGTGGTTTCTGTGTTGTTCTCTAGCCCACATAGGTGTTAATAAGTATTGCTCTTCTAAAAATTAATGAGGGAAAATGAAGGAAACTAACAATTATTTTATATCCCTTTTTTGTGTGTTTCTTCTTGCTTATTTGTTTGTTTGTTTGGTGCTGGTCCTGGGGCTTGAACTCAGGATCTGGGCAGTCTTTTAACTTTATTTGCTTAAGGCCAATGCTCTACCATTTGAGTCACAGCTCTACTTCCAGCTTTTTGGTGGTTAATTGGAAATAAGAGTTCTCAGATTTGTCTGTCTAGACTATCTTCTAGTGGGAATCCTCAAATCTCAGTCTCCTGAGTAGCTAGGATTACAGATGGGAGTCACCAACTAACTCCTTGCTGGAAACAAAAAGCCGTCTTGAAATTCATAATGAGGGATATTTACTGTTAATATTTTGGTGCACATCCTTCTAACAATTTAATGTTAATCATGAGATCCTTTAACCATAATTTACCTTCTCTGTAATAATGCAGTTAATACCTTTGTGTTATAATGGTTAAAACAAGTTGGAAGGTGGTGACAGGTAAGATGCTTTACCTCCTCTGGCCAAAATGAATTAGCATTGAAGTAACTGGCTATATACTACAGCCTCCTGAAAGCTGATTTGGAAAATAGCATGGATATTTTAGCAGAGATTGTGAGGTAAATGTAGTGTTTACTTAGAATAACACCTGCAGTATTTTCTTTTTAAAGGATTGTTTTGAATTAAGATTGAGTTAGGGATTACAGTGCTCCGAAACTTCATGGGTGACCTCCTAAATCCTTAAAAGAATCTTTCTTGTTTGGCAGGTGTGTAGGTGTGTGTGTGTGTGTGTGTGTGTGTGTGTGTGTGTGAGAGAGAGAGAGAGAGAGAGAGAGAGCGCTCGCAAGGGTGCAAGGTTTTAAATTCTTAAAGAATCCATGAGACCTAAAGACTATAAATTCTGGGAAATGGCTAATTGCATAATCTGTAGTCAGGTAAGGCTGGCAGCCATGACTAACCAGAAGGATCCACAGTTGCAGACTGCCAGAAGAAAATATTAAAATGAATAGCATAAACAACTGTGAGATGTTTCCAGTTCGGAGATTCCTGTTATGAAACAGAGAATGAACAGAAACATTGAGAGCAGCCTTCCTTCTCCAAATAGTCCAGGTGTCCTTAAGGTCTGGCTGCGAAGGACAGACTGTAGAAAGAACTAGAATCCAGATCTGAAACGGAAACATTGGTTATCAGACTGTAGTTACCTGCTGTTTAGACTAACTAAAAATCTTCCTCCTAAATCCAGTGAGATCTCCTGATCTCACTTGAAGGCATTGGCAGCTCTTTGATGAAGGTTTTCCATGTT